CGCCCACCACAACGCCCGGCTATTTTTTGGTTGCAGCCGTCATTGTTGTTTGGCGGGTCCGGGCTGGGGATTCAAACCCGCCACCTTAGGTATATGTGGCTGGCGCCTTAGCTGGTTGAGCTATAGGCGCCGAGCCTACACATTTTAAAACTGTATTAAATTGGCAATACTCAGTACATACCCATAACAAAATATAAATACAAGTCATGGTGAGCACCTCTTGTAATTGCAGATGTTAAAGGTGACTTGAGTGTTACAAATTTCGTATGTTTTTTTCCTTTATAAAAAATGTGTACACTGGGTGGCACCTGTGGCTCAGTGGATAGGGCGCCGGCCCCATATACTGAGGGTGGCAGGTCGAACCCAGCCCCAGCCAAACTGCAACAATAACAACAAAAAAGTAGTTGGGTGTTGTGGTGGGCACCTGTAGTCCCAGGTACTCGGGAGGCTGAGGCAAGAAAATCGCCTAAGCTCAATAGCTGAAGGTTGCCACCTAAGCTCACGAGCCGAAGGTTGCCATGAACTGTGATACCACAGCACTCTATCAAGGATGACAAAGTGAGACTCTGTCTCAAAAAAAAAAAAAATGTTTATAGTGGCTCTGTGCCTGTAGCTCAGTGAGTAGGGTGCCAGCCACATACACCAAGGCTGGCGGGTTTGAGCCCAGCCTGGGCCTGCTAGACAACAATAACAACTGCAACCAAAAAATAGCTGGGCATTGCAGTAGGCACCTGTAGTCCCAGCTACTTGGGAGGCTGAGGCAAGAGAATTGCTCAAGTCCAAGAGTTTGAGGTTTGCCGTGAGCTGTGACACCATGGCACTCTACCAAGGGTGACATAGTGAGACTCTATCTCAAAAAAAAAATTAAAATAAATAAATAAATAAAAATGTGTATACCTTTTTGGGCACCTTCTGTATATAATATCACAGTGAATATTCATATATAAAAATTCTATTGTGTGCATATTTCTATAGGAAAGATTTCAAAAAGTAAAATAAGATCTAAAGGATATGAATATTTTTCATTTTGATAGGTACTACCAAAATGTCATCCTAGCAGATATCAGTTTTCCCTTTCACCAATACTGAATGAATGCTCTTCACTTTACAGCTTTGCTAATGCTGAATATTACTAATCTCTTTTGAATTTTCATTTAACTGGTGGGCGCAAATGATATCTATTATATCTCTGTTTACAAATAGGATCAATCACAACTTTTAAATTTTAGTTTTTTTAAAGTTTTAAGATTTAACTTTCTAAAAGGCAATACATTTTCATTTATTCAAAATTTAAATGGTCTTAGCAGGGCATTGTGGCAGGCACCTGTAGTCCCAGCTACTTGGGAGGCTGAGGCAAGAGAATTGCTTAAGCCCAGGAGTTTGAGGTTGCTGTGAGCTATG